TTTAAATTAATTGGCTGAAGTATTATCCGCTCGTACTGTTAAAATAAATGTTATTTTTTAAATGTAGCCTTCGAATACAAGACTTGCGAAAATCATGTAGCATTATGATGAACGGAAGATTTATATTAAGGAAAAATCCAGTTATCTCGACTACGTTTAGGCCTGTAACTTATTAAAGAGGAAAAGAAGAAGTTTCTCGCCGTTCAAACAGTACTCTCCCTGTCCTACCCCACTCATTTTCATTCGCGTGTGACATAGTTTGAATGACCTTGATCAACCTCTCTGCCTTTACTTAAGTTTCCGAGATTTCATTCGGTTTTTGTAGGCGTGGCAGGTGACAGATTCGCCACAACAGATGATTCATGGATTATTTCACCTCGTCGGCTCTATGACCAGTGCAGATCTCTTGGGTATATGACGTCATCCTGATTTTTTTTTGTAAATCCTTAAGATAACATTCTGTTGTATAAAATGATTGTAACTGCAGACAATGCACATTTAGTACGGTTCATATACACAGTCTTCATTTGCCGAACGATCGCTGATGACGTCGTCACCAAACGAAAATCACTTCGTTTCTTCAAACATTTTCCAATTTTTAATTTGATAATGGAGAGACGCTGAGCAATGTTCTCTCCTGGTTTCCGAATTTCGAGTTTAACTTGAAGAATAGCGTAATATATCACGTGTAGTTTTTACAGCGATGTTAAATAGTTTCTCGAAAATATTTATTCAGGGTGCTGAATAAGTAAGGAATTTTACTACTCTCGAATCCACATATTTTGGAAGCTACAACCTACAAGAATATTTGGAAACGCTTGGATCCTTCATTCGTGTTCTTGTTTAAAGCTTCGTCAAAATCGTTCCTAAAAAAATTCTTTTACATTGAGAATTATATATTCTACATTTGCAATTCGTAACCCCACAATACATAAATCAAACTGTTCGTAAAGATATTGAAAAAATTGTATCACTGCTTTGCGTTATTCAGGGACTTGAATGAATAAATGTTACACTTACACACACAGCAGAGGGATATTAAGCTGGTTTAATGAGAATGACTTATAGTCAGGCGGGTAACTTCTGGTTACGACTTTACATCGATATGCCATTTGTCTCCACCATTTTTGAATTAATGACAAAATTCGTAGGTCAATTTGCTTTGTGCGGGCAGGTCGTGAGTGTGTGTGTCGGGAGTGTCGCCATTTCTTTAAATCGCGTTCGTACGGGAGAGTTTGTAGGCAGTCCTAGAGTAGATCTGCGGAACCACTCCGCAGGAAACGTGAATGTGAGGTTAGGTTAGTGATGTGGTCTGAAGGACGTAACGCGAGATTATTCAAGACGGAAGTGATTTTAAATCCGGCAGGTTTTTACCAATATGTTGTGTTAATTTCAGATTTTCGGTTATGTTAGTCATTCTGGAACATCAAGTCCGAGGCAGTGAAGGTTACGCGTAAATTTTTCATTAATTTCCGCTAAAGAAGTGTGATTTCCGTGTGACCGCGATTCTGACCGTCCTCGAAGTGTTTGTGAGTTTTTTTTACGTCATGGTTTTGTTAGATTCTGTGAACGGCTACGTCGTTAGAGTGGAGGATCGGCGTCCATCGGACATCGGAGGAGACATCGAACCATGGATCAAGGCGGACGGAGCAACGCGCAAAGAGTAAAGTTAAGAAGACAAAAACCAGTGTCGGCCGAACCCCTAGTGGTTGAGGACCCATCCGCTGGAGGATGGGCTGGGTGCTCGCGGCAAATCTTGTACGCCATAGCATCGGCACGGTCTTATCAAGAGCAGCCAGGCCCCAGGTTGCCAACGATAACCACGTCGGTCCGTGCCAGGCAACTTGTATTTGACGCGGCGCCCGC